GATCCGGTGAACAGCTGACCTCGGATCAGTTTAACTGCGAACTCGGCGTCCCCTCGGCAGAAGATAGATCAACACAGCCCATCGCCAAGGCGACATCTCAACAATAGGCCAGTCGACCAAAGTGTGCGAGGTGTGCGAGGCTACAGCAGAGTGTGACGACTGAGTCGTGGGCCGGAGTCCTAGACTGACGCCCAGTTGTCGAGCTGTCAGCCGGATCCGAGGCCTCGAGAGCATACCGCCTCCGAGGCTGGCAACAAAGTGTCGGATGGGGCCATTTGGGCGTAAACCAAGAGACCACCACCAGACCGACTATGAGAAGAGTGGGCTGACAAGTGGGGGGACAAGTGGGGGATACAAGTGGACGGGTGTGAGGAGCCTCACTTTGACGACATGCCGGCGCTTCTTCCCGCCGGAGCCTAAACGCTGAAGGAGGGGGCGCCGGAGAAGCTCATCAAAGAGACGAGGCAAGTCGACTTCTCGGCTCGTCGGACAGCCTGGACCGCGAGAACACGGCAATGCATGAAAGAGACTGGGAATATGCAGCACGGCTTCACGTTGAGCTATTGATCAATCGTCACCTGGAGACAAGACTTTCCCTCCAATCGGCCCGTTGTGAGGACATAGCCTTCTTCCTGATTGGCTCATCCGTCACGACGATTGCCCACAATTGCCCACAATCTCCTCCAATCACATCGCGCGATGGACCAACTCCCGGACGCCAACCTTCGCGACGGTATGCTTGCGCATGCACGACACGCATGTCGGCGATAGGCTGGCGAAGGCGAATTCACTTCATGTCGGCATGCGGCATGGATAATGCACACAGGCGGATCTCGGAGTCCTTGCAGGGTCTGCACTTTAGGGTTGTTCCGACAAGTTTGGCTCTTTCTGGCAAGACCAAGTGGTGCTGTGACCGGTACCAACAGTCGACCAAAATGACCACTTTACACACTGACCTGGCAGAACTGCCAACTCGAGTATTTATGCAAATTATGCTTGGCAACTTTTGTACTAATAAAGTATGGTTTTTTTGGAATTAAACTTAATAAAGTACCGATTTAAAACAAAAAGTGACCAGGATGGTGTGGCTTTTTGTGTGGAGGGCAGATACCATAACTGTTTAGCACACGTTTGGTCAAAGGATCGGCTTCACTTGTCTCTTTGACGAGTTGTTGAATGGTGCTTAGGATGGCGATACTCACTGACGATGCCGACTACGATCCCGGCGAAACTTCTGGGAAAGTACCACGTCCTCGGTCCGAGTTTGTAGATGATGATGCATACAATTGACTCGGGATGAGGTGCGTTCCTCTAAGTTTTCCAACCAATGTGACCAAGTTGCGAAAATAAGGTCAAACAACTTCTAAAAAGTTATAGAATTGGGGGGGCTAATTTCGTTATAATTACACAATATGCTGGGCAACCCTAAATGATGTGGCCTGACTTCGTTTTTGCACCTCGGTCATGTTGTTAAGGCGACTTAGTTGGGTCCTTTGTGTATAGTAGTCATTACAATTCCCAGCATTGGACCGTGAGCTTGGTACATTCCCAGACGTTTTGTCAGCATCGTCAGTGGGTCTTGCCAGTCCTGCACTAAACTGCAACTCGTCAAAGAGCCAAGACTTGCCTTGGTGCTGAGAATGGCAAGACTCACCAATAATGCCGGCGAAACGAATGGGAATGTACCAGCTCCACGATCTGATGCTGGGAATTGGGCTAAGGACTTCGGACAAGGTGCGTCCAATTGAGTCGCCTTGACAACACGACCAGGTTGCGAGACAAAGAAAGGAGACTGCCACCTCGCCTCGAGGTTAACTAAGTTCTTATTCAAGGATTACTGATAATCTCGAGATGTATCTATACCTAAAATAAATAACACTTCACACTTCGTTGGCCCGCACGTGTCTGCTTAATCGACAATTCCATTACAACAATGTTCTTCAGGAGTCTCCTGGCTTGCCTCGAATGCTGCATCTGTTCCGATACCTACTTGCGCCTGTGAATTTTATCGGCATCTTGAGACTTACTCTTTGGATTATGAGAATACTCAACTATAACTCCTTACATCGTCTTAAGCGACGTGGGACGACTTAGCTCTCATTTCCTTTTAACGTTCATTAATTTTAAAAGAAATGTAATAGATTGGAAAGTGTATTTATAATTAAACTCGATACATTACTTATTTTAGTTGTTAGTAACATATTTTGCGTTGGTTTGACTTAGTCTTTGCAACTTGATCGGAATGATAGCGAAACATTATGCACCTAGTCCTGCATATTCTGCCATAATATTCATGTCTTCTTCGACGTTATCTTTAGCGAGATTTTTTTCCATTATAATATTCTAGTCTCTGCTAGTGATAGGTCTGATATTATGTTTTACCCATAATTTTAGTTCTTGTAGCATTATAAATTCACCAGATAAAGTCCTAAATACGCAATTTAGGCATCGAGTATTGTTCGCAACTTTCAATTACTCTTTTACTACAACTTGTCTCACTATCGCTTACCATTTAATTCCAATTAGATTAAACTTCCCAAATGTCTTCTCACCCAGGATGAGCAGAAAATGGTAAGTCGTATCACGGCAACAGCATCCGAGACGGTATCATGCACATTGTGACGGCATAGGTTCAGGCGTATTATAGGGCAGATGTGAATTTCAAAGCAAGCCGTAATTCTCCCAAATCACATTTGGCACTGAAAATAACATGTATTTGCAGTTGTAATCGAAGACTTTTCATAGTTTCACAGCAAGTTTAACTTGACACTATCAGTAAATCTTTGAATATAACACTGAAATTGTCTAAATTAATTTAAAGTGTGGTGTTATTTTGGCAAAATTCCATTGTTTCAATTGACTTTGATAGACCTAGGGCGGCTAATTTTTTTTTCTTTCCCTTTCCCTTCTTCCAGATGATTGGGGTTCACCCTCTTCTCGGCACCGTTTGAGCATACACGAAGATGTTGGCAGGCAAAATGCGCATACTTGGTTGAGAATTTGGGTGCAAAGAGGCCCTAAGGGCGCAAAATAAAGGGACTTACTTAAACAGAGGTGCCTGAAATGAGCTCTGGCGGCCCGGCGCACCTGACATAACGTCCATTTGCATTGCTCAGAGTTATAACTAGTACAAAAGCAGCAAGTCACAATAACACTCAAATTCATAATAACACACATATTCCTGTTGAATAGGCTGAGAGTCTGTCAGTATATCTTGAACAACACTTTGAGGTGATAAAAGTCGGATAGCTTTCTTTCTCTACATTATTTCCGACCCTTAACAAATACAATGTTTATTCAAGACATACTTGTACCATCGAGATTGTAAAGGGTAAAACATAATTTCGTCTAGAAGTGGGTTGACCTCGTTGTCGCAACTTGGTCTTGTCGTCAGGGCGACTTAGTAGAACGAACCTAGTCCGAAGTCGTCTGCCATAGCAGTTGTCCTGATTCCCAGCATCAGACAGTGGACTTGGTACATTCTCAAACGTTTCGCCGGCATCGTAGTCGGCATCATCAGTTTTGCCATTCGCAGCACCGAGCTACGAATTCGTCAAAGAGACAAGTGAAGCGGATTGGCTAATGGCAAAACTCATTGATGATGCCGACGAAACGTATGAGAATGTACCAAGTCCACTGTTTGATGCTGGGAATCATGACAACTACTATGGCAGACGACTTCGGACT